TCGCTGTCGCTGCAGTGTGGTTGCTCCAGTCAGTCGCGAACCACCGACTTCCAATGAATACTAACAACACAGTTTTCTATCAATACGGGCACCACGTTTACACTTTCTTTAATCTTTATTCGTTAGACGATCTCGTTGCTATGGTGTCGTAAAAACTGCAAAACACAATAACGACAATGTGCTATAAGTTTCGAAACGTGCTTTGCAAATATAGGTAGACAAATATATGTTAACTGTAAACGTGAACAGTATTATGATGACCTGAAGGGCTCTATGCATGGTTAACGTCGAGCAGGGTCAGCCGGCGATGTACATTGATGGTCAAACTACGACATATTTGGCAGAAAGCAATTCGACAGTCATTGAAACCTACATATACCAGCGTAATAGACATCAATCTTAATAATTACCGTAATCGTAATAATCATGCGGCATTATGGGGTTCGGAGAATTATCGATGAATCTTATAGTATTGTAGAACAAATTAAAACATGGCACAAACCAGGTGCGCCATGCTGTTCCCGCCGGGAATCGTACCGGCGCAAGAATATTACGGCTCGTCTTCTCAAATACCCGACACTCACATTTCAGATTACCCTAACTATACAAAATACAAAAGGTTAACGAACTATACTATAATCAGTTCTTAGTAACTCGCACAGCGATTCGTGTGTGACGATCAGCAAGGAGCTACTTTACGTCGCAGACCTTTCCTTCGACAAACCGGAAGTGTTCTTAGGAATCAGGAAATGCATGTAAACAAGTGTACAGTGACGAGTCTTGTTGTGTGTGGTTGTGTTTGTGATCAACACAAATAAGTCGAACACACAAATATATAGTCTACAGAAGAGCCCGCCTTTTTCATTGTCGTTCGCCTCCGTGGAATGTAGGCTGTAGCCACCCAGACTGTACTGTAGTGACTCTCATCACGTCTCTCGTATGCTGCAAGCTAGCCAGATATTTCATCGTCCATTCTATCCCACCGCTGCCACCATGTTGTGTGTGGTTGTGTTTGTGATCAACACAAATAAGTCGAACACACAAATATATAGTCTACAGAAGAGCCCGCCTTTATTTCATCATCTCTGGTTACGTGCCGCATCTAACTGCCGAACGTATGCTTTCTTTTACGACCGCTTTACCTCGTAACCCCACGCATAGCAATGTAATCCCTATCACTACAAGTCTGAGCAATACAAAATGGTCTGAGACAACGTATACACTGATACTAGCGCTGATAAAAAGGTAAATAAACACTGAATGCCATCGTAATGAGAATACACACAGGGGTTATAAAACAACATTCCCACGCGGATACACATCTGCTCTCTTTCGCAGTGACACTTACACCATCATCATCGACGTATCGAAGTAGTGTTGCTTCCTTTTCATGGCATGCAGCATCTGTAGTCCCATCGAAGGATATGGCGAAGTATTTTGTTGATTTTCCAATTGCTGCTGACAAATTCGTTTTGAAGATGCAATCTCACCAATAAAGTTCGCACATTGTTTATCACTACCATATGTGTACCCAACATCTACACCGGATTTTGACTGCAATTGGAGTAATGTTGGGAAGTCAGTAATTCATATCGTGTATGCGACGTCGAATAATTTCATCATTCGTCTCTCGAGCTGTTATCTCGTCTAGATGGGACACGGCCCTCACAATTGGACGTTCCACAAATGGAGTGTTTTACGCTACGTTGAGATCATGCTGATATCTTACGGCATTTTGATGGCCAACGGAGTTGCCATGATCAACCGCATTAACCTTTTTTATTGCCGTTGTCCCTGTGATAAATGCAGTTGATGCGTTGACCTGCCGGTGCCCTCTTCTTGATTTCGCCTTATCAGGATGTGCCTGACATACCTGACACCACGGCACATGGTATCGACAAACCCGTCTTTCTCCTCTATTTCGATATTTAATTTAATTTCCAGTTTTTCACAGTACTAGCACAAACACGATAAGTTTTTTTGGCAATCACAACAACTGGTACAGAATCCTCCGGTGGAATGATTACATTATCGACATCGCCAGGCACAGCAGCCTGCTGAACAGGAGTAGGAATAGGATCATGAGAATCAGGAATGTTTATATTTAATACTGCCGTTGGTGGTGTAGGTTTCATAACTTTTGCTGGGCCAAACAAAGTGTTCCTCTGAGTCGAAACTAGCCCTGGCAACTTCCTTTTCCCCTTCAATTTCGACATTGTGCATATATTTAATTTTTACAACGAGAATAAACAGAAGAAAGTTCACAAAACGACAAGAAAATGCATGAAATGATCTGTGAATCACGTTGCTAAGCGATCTGTAAACAAACTCAGCACTGAATAAAATCAGCGGTGGTTGCAGCACCATACAGTTGCAACAGCGGCGGTGGCAGCACCATACGGTTCTATGGTTCCTCATATCTGAGGGAAATCCTCATGGTCCGATGTCTACTTTGTTCTAATAATTCTCTTTTCATTAATCTGTCATTTTCTAACTTAATAGTGTATTGCAATAGCATAAACTTTTTATAACATATTCTATCTTTTATTGGTATTATTCCACTTTCTGCTCTTAGTGCCTCTATAGCACTTGGTGTCTTGCTGTGCGCTTCGAGTATCCTTCTTAAACATTCATTTTGGAAATCCTCTACCATTTTTATTTCTTCTTTAGTCAGGTTAGTCCCAGTTTCGCTATTATTTAGTAGTGACGGCACTACAGTGCATTCATAAAGTTTAACACGTGCTTCTATCGCGCAGTTTCCAAAGTTTTGTTCATTAGCCATAGATATAACTAATTCACTCATCATAAATTGACATTTCTCTGTTCTTTGTATTATCATTTCTTTATATCGTCCTTCTTCACTTAATATCTCGCCTAAGTATGTATATTTACTACATCTTTTTGTTATTTGATCTGCGATAAGAATCTGTTTTTCTTTGCTATTTGGGCCTCCAAACTTTATTTCCAATATATTTGTCTTCTCCAATTTTGTCTAGCAATTTTCCTTCAGCCAGCCTAGTACATGCATGCTTGAGCTGTAGTACATGCTTCGTCATGGTCTCCCAATTTCCAATTCCCAGGATATCATCCATATACAAAAGAGGCGTGATTTCTATCGAGTTTCCATACATATAAACCGGTGTACCATAATTATGTACTTGGTCTAAAGTAATACGTACAACATAAGATTGGACCAAAAACGGTCCCTTGACGCACTATTTCATCAATTTCAAACGTTTCAGGTAGTCCTACAGGTGTTTTAACTGCTATCGTAGTGTAGTCGCTGGGTAATTCTGCTGTCAGCCGACTGTGCGCTATAGCTTGCGTGCTATGTATGCGCCGTGTAATTGCTTGACTAAACTTACGAATGTGATAATAAAATGAGAGTAGACTGATGTGGGTTACAAACTGCCGTTTCACTATTGAATACTTACAAAATCAGTACAAATCACACAGGGTAGACTAGAGGTTTTCCAGAAATTCACACAAGTAACACAGGGTAGAACACTGGTTTTAAATTCACATATAATCACTTAATACAACAGAGGGGTGAGTACACGAGAGCCCCGTTTCTTCCGCGCGAGCCTTCTTATACTCCCCTTCGTCAATGGAGCCGTGAAACCCTCCCCCAATATGTTTCTCCCTATCACTGCTGCCTACAGGGATAGTAGAGGGGTAGAATTATTGTCTGTGGTCAGTTTGTGGAGTGGGATAGAGGAAATGGCCAATGGCGAGTATTGAGTGGAGAAGGGTTCACGCCCTCCTCCCCTCAGGCACGTGGGTGCTTCGTAGGTGGGATGACGTATGACGCATGACGTATGCTGGGTGATCGTTTACTGTAATTAAATATTTAACAGCTGTGTAGGAATAACTTTACGCTAATGTGTGTATTTTGTTTGGCCGACATCTGACCGTACCCCGGCCAGTGTCGGACCTCTATGTGTGTCTCTAAGATATTATGTTTGGTCAGCTACCCCGCACGCTAGCCAGTGATGACGTCAATGAAATGTGGTCAGTGCAGAACAGCTGTTCCCTAGCTGTGTGAAACAACGTTGTGCTAATGTGTATGTTTGTTCTGAGCCGACCGCTAAGCCCAACTAATGTTGTGATGCAGCTAAGGTGTGTGTCTAAGCTGTTATTCGTTGAAAGTTGACCCGTACTATAGGCAGAGTTGCGGCCATCCCCATGTGTATCTATTGCGTGTGGAACTAATTTTACCAGTTGTTTGTGTGTCTAGCAGATAAATCCGTCTCCCTGCCAGCTGGTGTGGTGTAAGGGTATCTTTATGCTGTGGTTCTGCTGCTGGTTATATCGTAATATCAGCCTATGTGTCAGCTGGTATTAAATGCATTCGCGGAGTGATATTAGCGTTGCTACAGTAGCGTTTTCATTCATTTTGTAGATTATTTCCCAACAATTAAGGTCCTTTTAATCCTTTAAACCACAAGTCAATCCTACAATCATTTAGCCATAATTTATCGAAACATTTTTGAACATCTTTGAATATCTCCAAAGAACAAGAGTATGTTTTTCTTCTGACTCCTACTTTTATCTATTATTGCTCTAACGACAAATAGATGGTCTGTGGTGCGCCCTTGTAGTCAACATGGCGCCTGTGGCGCTCAAGTATGTGACCAATCATCTTCCTAACCTGTGTTTATCTACAGCCTACAGACACAGTGCTACAGGCCCTGGCCTTGCCAAGATTCGCGTGTTGAGTTGTTGACTACGTAGTTCTATTGTATATATTGTTCTCAATCT